AAGATGCCAGGATTGTCGACGTTAACGGGAAGATTCTTGACCGGCAAGCAATGGGGGAGGAGCTGTTCTGGGCAATCAGGGGCGGCGGCGGCGCCAGCTTCGGAATCATTCTCTCGTGGAAGTTAAGGTTAGTGCCCGTCCCCTCCACCGTGACCGTCTTCACCGTTCCCAAAACCCTGGAAGACGGCGCCACCAAACTCCTGTACAAATGGCAAACCGTCGCCGCCGATAAACTCGACGAGGATCTCTTCATCAGAGTCATCATCTCCGCCGTGAACGCCGCCAAGAAAGGCGGCGGCCAGAGAACCATCCAAACCGCCTACAACGCCCTGTTCCTCGGCCAATCCGACCGTCTTCTCCAAATAATGTCCAAGAATTTCCCAGAACTAGGATTAACCAAAAAAGACTGCATCGAAATGAGCTGGATCCAATCCATCCTCTACATCGCCGGATATCCAAGAACCACCCCGCCGGAAATTCTCCTCCAGGGCAAATCCCTCTTCAAGAACTTCTTCAAAGCCAAATCCGACTTCATAAGAGAACCCATCCCAGAATCCGGCCTGGAAGGCCTCTGGAAACGCCTCCTCCAAGAATCCTCGCCGCTGCTGATATGGAACCCGTACGGCGGCATGATGGCGGAGATCCCAGAAACCGAAACCCCATTCCCGCACAGAAAAGGCGTCATCTTCATGATCCAATACTTGACGCTGTGGAACGACGCGTCGCCGGAATCGGAAGCGAAGCACTACGATTGGATGAGGAAGCTGTACAATTACATGGCGCCTTTCGCGTCCATGTTTCCCAGAGAGGCGTACGTGAATTACAGGGATCTTGATCTGGGAATGAGCAAGGGAGGGAATGAGAGCTTCATCAAGGCTATGGCGTGGGGGAACAAGTATTTCAAGATGGAGAATTTTGATAGATTGGTAAGGGTGAAGAGCAGAGTTGATCCTGATAACTTTTTCAGACATGAACAGAGCATCCCCACGCTTCCTCTGTCCATGGAGGAGCATGGCATGGGGAAGACGATGATCCATTGAAGTATATATTATTTATAGTTTACTAGCTAATTTTTATTTAAATTTCATGAGTCTTATGTTGTTAAATTTGGTGTAATGGATGGAAGATAAAAAAAAAATTCCATGTAAAAATATGTTGAAAATATTTCTTTTGAATTTGGTGTAAAGGGTTGAAGATAGTCTTAATATGCTATGCACCAAATACCCATTGCTTATGTTCCTTTTTTCTTAAAAAAAAAAATTTAATCTCTTATTTACTTTCAAGTGGAAAAGCCCTTTTAATTTGTAATACTTTATGTAACAGTGAATTCCATTTTTGGTCCTACTGTTATAGGGGCGTTTTCAATTTTAGTCCACCTTAATTTTCTTGCCACTTTATAATCACTATTATTGAATGTGTTCCACTTTTAGTCCCACCGTTAGTATTCCCATCAAGAGGCCGTGTAATCTAGGGGTATTTTGACATTTCTTCTCATCCAAGACTATGTTTGACTGAAGAAATGAGAACATTAAACCTAAAACCTAAGAAACCTCGTCGGCCCATGTTGGAACGAATGAAACGATGTAGCTTTGGCTTCCCATTCTCGTTGTTCGAAGAGCCATCTTCGAATATCGGAGGAGGAGGACGAAGCGCCTGGATTAAAAGAGGAGAGACAAACATAAAAAGACCAAAATACTCTTTGATTATAGGGCCTCTTGACGAAAATATTAACGGTGGACTAAAAATGGAACACATCCAATAACAGTGGTTGTAAAGTGGCAAAAAAAAAATTAAAGTAGACTGAAATTAGAAATGCCCCAATAACAGTAGGACCAAAAATGGAATTCACTCCTATATGTGAAGTGTATATGTTTGAAAGAGAATTTGATAGTTTTCCCCACGACTTATAGATTCTTGGCAGCATCTTAATTCAACATGTCACTCATAATATTGGATTTTTTGGTACGATAATAGTGTTCTACCTATTTAATCAAGTTTTTTTTTGGTTGCCTTATGTGTGTGAATATATAAGCATTACAATCAATTGTAATTGTCTTTAAGCTTTCTAATACAAGACTCCTAATTTCTGGTCACAAGTTTGTTTCTTGTCAAAATATCTTGATTCATACAAAATTTTTCTAGTACAATTTATCTTATACAAAAATAAAATTTATCCATTTCATACTATTCACCAAAACAAATATATTTGGAGTGTTGTTTGGTGCTCCATTATTATATTGCATAACAAGCAATTCTCCACTTTGGTTTAGTGGACATGATACACGGAATAGAATAGGTATGCTCGTCTACTCAAACGAATTTTGGTTCATTCGTGTCAGGATAGCTGCCATTTTATTGATGCTATATTTGAGAGTTTCATAAACTCGTGACATATATACAATATAATTTTCGTTAAAAATTGAATCCATGACCAAATGATTCTAACCTCAAAGTTCTTGTAACTTGAGTAATTAATATGTGAGTGCAATCTTAATCGAGTTGATTGTACAAATGGTTCAATAGTCATAAGGTTCAACTCTTCATGAAAACTACAATCTATTGACAATATTTGTTTAAGCAGGTCAACTATGTGCAACTTAGGCTGTTTCACATAGAGCACATACACATCAAATCATGTATATAAACTACACCCAACTTACCAAGGATTAAAAAATGCAGGTATGAATTTGACATTTGACCAGTTGAGACACATCTTGTGATTTCCTTCTCACGAGTTTCTAAGACATGAGCGGTGGCAATTATATAGTGGGCCGCAGTCCACAAAGCTTTGTAGACCATGGTCCAAAACGACAAACACTATAGTGTATCTAAACTGACACTGCAATTGAATTGAAATGAAACTGTAGTTGTGTTGAAATGAAACTGCAATGTATACAAAATGAAACTGAATAACAATTTCACATATTTGAGGGTATATTGTCCAACGAAACTGTAGTTATATCAAAATTATATTGTAGTTGTGTTGAAATGAAACTGCTAGTATATTTGATGCATGGACCATAATGCATTGTGGATCGCAGTCCACAATATAATTTGCCCATGAACAGTGAGAGGTTTTAAGTTTGGGATTCCAAAGAAAAGCTCTATTGTCATTTGGGATTCACTATTTTAGATGGGAGGTTGAATTTATAAATGTTCGCGTCTTGTTAAAGAGTTCTATATTAGAATTTTCATATAATTTCCGTCAAATCCAAATTAGTCTTACATGAATACAAATATTGAATATTACTCCGTACATGAAAAAAAAGACAACTCAAGTCACCCAAAGTGGGTTGAAAAGGAATAGTATTGAGCATTAGAAATTTTGGAACCTTCAAGATTGGTGCAATACCCCAAAAGTAAAAATAGTACAGTAGTGGTGTCTCTTCTCCCACAACAACAAAACATAAGACAATCATATATATGTGCCTATTGGGCTATAAATACACATATTCCATATATATATATATATATATATATATATATATATATATATATATATATATATATATATATATATATATATATATATATATATATATATATATATATATATTTCAAAAGACTAGTCACTAGTGGGTTGCTCTCATTTCACACCTACAAGAAAGATTGTAACCAAAGGCAATAATTCTGCTAACATTATATGCATATGAAGTAGTAGTGGCATTGGGTGCAGTCCACATTTCCTTTAGATAATTTCCACATTGTTTCACCTTTTTCTTTCATGGCATACATAAAAATAATAATAATAAGACATACTTAAATTTCAAGTTAGTGACAACAAAAATCAATCTTATGATGAATTACGATCCTTCGACAAGAGTATCAAATACTTGTAATTCAAGTGTGAAATTCTTAATTTTTCAAAGTGATCTAAATATGTACGTACACATATTATACTTGACGGAATAAATCTAATTGCATTAAAAAAAAAAAAGACTTTAATTAATTGCCTCAATCGGGTGAGAGTGGAGATCCCTAATCTATTTGCTCTTGCAATCTAGCTACTAAGTATCTTATCTACCATCGAGTCACTCTCAACTAAGCCAATTAAAGAATCTTGTTATATATGTAACACTTTTCTTAGTTGATCTAACTAAAAACCAACAACTCAAAATTATATGCCAATTCCATCGAGAGGCCCATGTGATTCAAACACTTGTAACCCAAGTATGGAATTTTCAATTTTCAAAATCTTCCAATATACACACATATTATATTATACTTGATAAATAATCTCAACACATTTCAGAAAGTCTCTAATTAATTACTTTAGCTAAGTGGAACTAAGAATCTCTTACCTATCCTTTTTTTTTTTTTTTTAATAATCTTCTATGTAGCTACTGTCGAATCACTCTTTACTAAACCCGTCCAAAAAACTCAATGAATAACACTTTTCTTAGTTGGTCTATCCAGAAACCAACACCCAAAGTTATCAGAAAAAGATGTGTCCATTCAGAACAAAAGTGCCTGATAATGTGAAGCTTTAAAAGCCTAATGATTGATGACTTTAATTAGTGCTTAATTGTCACGCTCAAATTAATGAACCCTAAAACGGGCTTAGTGATTGGATCAAACAAAATAGATTCCTTCTTAGTCACCCTCCAATTTGAAAATAAAAGGCTAATTCATTAATTATAAGGAGAAATGTTTACGATACAGATTGTTAGAATGACAATACATTCTTTACAGTCAAATTTCCTAACAATGTAATAAAAAACTTGAATCCCAGACTGTTTTACAAATTTGAAGCCGAAGTTGTTGGATGAACTCGGCTTCTTCACAGATCTGGTCAAACATAGCCAAGCCTGACTCTGGTGAGACCATTTTATTATTCCACGCTTATGAGGAGAACTCGTCAAAGAGACGAGAATGAAACACTCGCCTGCAGAGAAACGAGAGAAAACAAACTAGTCAAAGGAACAAAGGGATAACGTAGAACCAAAAGAAAACAACATAAATAGAGGGTCACCCTCCAATTAATCACCCTTTAATCTCTTCATCATGGGAACTAATTAAAAAAACTGGATGGCATGACAAAACACTAACATGCGATGGTTGGTTTCATGTGACATTCATTAATTAGTGTCATTTTTCTTTTTCTTTTTTCTGCGTCGTCTTTTCTTAATTTTGAGGGTAGGGCAGAAAGGTGATGAAGGAAGTGTGTAGAGTGTTACTTTTGGTGAGAATCTAAGAAAGTAATATAATGGCCATTGTTAAAAGACTATTAAATCTGAAAAGAAGAAAAAGTGATTGTTTGGGTGAGTGGCGCCTTACTCTCAACATTAATTGTCACGGGGCGTTTTATCTCGGTATTAGAATCAAAGTGACGGGACTTGAAAAGAGTAATTCGAGCATAGCTTTCATATTAAAAGATCAGAAATTTTATTATTGTCACACATTTTTAGTTGAATTAATTACATAAAATCTTATTAATTAATACATTTATCTCTTTTATGTAATTTGGGACTATTATTCAAGAATGAAACTCTTATGTAGTAGCTGGGTGTTTTATTCGTCATGCAATAAAAAGAATCAAAGGGATCTAAACCAAAAATAATGATCGTTGGATAGCGTCAAAGTTGAGGAAAAAATTAAAACATATTTTACATTATTTGATTAATGTAGAAGTTATTGCAATGGAACATAAATTTCTCAATTTTAAGAAAAATGAATTCCTTGATTTTGTTAAGTATTTCACTTTTCACACGTACTTTTTTAGCAAAAGGAAGACAACATGAATTTTTATATTACTCTTACATATCTTTATTATGTAGAGTCATTGAATTTTTATATATATTAATTATTTTCAAGAACTTATTTTTTACAAATCAAATAATAGAATTAATAATTTTAAGTAATTTCTTTTTTACAAAATTCAATGGTTCGTCTGGAAACCCAAAAAATATAATGACCTTGAAAGTCATTTTTGAAAATTTTAATGTTTGATTAAAAAAGTCAACGAAAAATACTTATTCTAATCAAAGAAAAAAAAATTCATTTTAACTGAAATATAATTTGAGATTTTTACTTGAAAGATATTTTCTAGATTTGTCTCTCACACTCCACTTTCTTTTTTCCCCCTCCCTCTAATTGGTATAAATTACTATTTGGATTGGACCAAACTATTCAGTTCATGCAATTAATCTATTTTTATAGGTTAGTAACATGTTGCCCTTACAAATGAATGATTTAGCCATTGCATTCTTCTATGATGGCTTCGGTGTCATCATAACAACAACAATAACAACTAACTTTAATTTTAATATGACATTTTTTTTTTAATGTTGGGGTGTTAAGTAATGACTGTTAGCTGATTGTGTTAGTGAGTTTGAATGTTTGATTAGTTGATAACATTAGTTTATTGTAGAAAAGTGTTTGGTAAATTAGCTGTTTGGTAAAAAAAACTGATCGAAAAAACTACTTTGAGTAATTTTTTTTTAATATTAGCATTTTAGAGCAATAAGTTGTTACAAAAAAATAATAATAATAATAATAATTAATCAAACACTTATATTGATTGTTTAACCAAGTCAAACAGCTAATAGTCAAATAATTCAAAATTGATTGATAGACTAACTATTTTACCAAACAGTGCCATTGTAAATTACTAATTTCTTTTTAGGAAAAAAAAAATTGAAGGCATGCATGGGTTCCTTCATTTCCTCCTATGTTTCCAGATCTGGATACAAAGGAGGCTTCTTTGTTACATGACTTGTTTGTATCCCAATGGAGACAAACAGACCACCTCTATAGATGGAGACCTTCATTTGCCTTTGATTTTTAATTTTAATTTTTTTTTTATTATAATCAAAATAAATTTCACATTAGCACAATCTGGTGAGGATAGTCGTCCAGGAGAGAAATAAGAATGCATGTCAATCATATGTCTAGATCAACGAATTAGATGTAATTTTGAAAAAACGACATGGTGGCATTTTTGTAAATAACTCAAACTTTGATGTAAGTAAATGTGTTATAAGTGCAAGTAACTGGTGCATCTTTGCAAGTAAAAAGTGTAAGTAAAATCACTTACAAATGCAAGTAATTTTACCTTGTTAACGACATTCGTGCACCTAGGTGCAACTACTTATAACTATAGATGCACCTAGTTATAACGTCAGGTGCACTTAGTATTGATGTTTAGTGTAAATCTTACTTGTACCTATAATACATTTTACATGCACTTGTAATACATTTTACTGCACTTAGGTGCACTATATGAAACTGATACTTGCACTTGTAATATATTTTACTTGCACTTCGATGTTAAATTATTTACAAAAATGTCACCACATTTTTTAAAAAATCAGTGTTTATCATCCATTGGATCTAGACACGTAGGCGGATGACATGCATTCTCATTTTTTTCTTGGGCAAGCCATTCGCACCTGAACGCTCTCCTATATATACACATACATACATATGAGAACATGATTTCTTGTAAAAAGTGAAAATTGATTTTAACATTCCGTCAAGGTTTATTAATGGTTGAGAGTTATATATAGGCATAATTAGCCTATAGGTCAATTTTGGCTTATTTGATCATTATTAGTTGTTTGACTTGGTTTAAAAATCAATATAAGTGTTTGGTTAATTAGCTTTTTGTATTCCAAAATGTTAAAATTCAATAAGTTACTCAAATCGACTTTTTCAATTAGCTTTTTTAGAAAATAAATTATACCAAACAGCTATCAGCTAACAACTAATTTACCAAACACCTTTGTACAATCAGCTAATGTTATCAACTAGACCTCCCACATAGGGGAGTAATCCGATACCAGTGGACCACAAGCCACTTGGTAATGTTATCAACTAGTTATACCCTCTAATTAACCCAATCAACTAACAGCTAACAACCATTTACCAAATTTGGCATTTTTTAAAAAAATGAACAATTTTATAATCATTGCAAATTTTGAAGTTTGTAATATTTATAAAACTGATTCCTATATATTTTTTTATTTTTTTATTTTGCAGCATTCAACCGTTACTTTACCTAAATAATTAAATAGATCATATTAATTTTCACTTTTTAATCTGATAGCTTGCTCTCACTTCTCACCTGAATCCTCTCATACATATATACAGCCATATAGGATTCCATTATTGGCATGACATTCTGGCTTTTTGGTAAGGGACTATTAAATGGGATGATATTTACACATATATATGGTCCCCAATAGATAGATATATATAGGAAAGTGGGGGTTGTTTTGTCAATGATTTCTCATTTCCCATTGGATTAATTAGTGTTTAATTTTTGCTCCAAAAAAAATTAGTGTTTAATTAATACTCAAAGTCTAATCATCTTCCATTTTACATTTTATTATATATTATATATATTCCACTGACAAATACTCTTTAAAGAATAAAAGACCTAGGATTCCAATGTAACACCTCAGAAAGATTAGATTCCATTCTGGAATATGTTTGTTCTTTTATGTATGCGGTATCTATGAATTCATGGTGTTGCTATGTTAACCTCACTGTTCAAATTTGTATAACAGTAAACTTGATATCTCTTCTTACCTTTTTTTTTTTTTTTTTTTTTGCGTGATGAGAAAAACCCGCAGTCATTATCTGAGGATGACAATAGGTAAACCTTACTTTTATGTAGTAGTCCATAAATAACATAAGAAACGTAAACTGCAATAGAAAGATCATGTGCGACAGGCCACTTGACTAAGAAAGTCTTAGCAAGAATAAAATCTGTGACCGTCGAGTATAAAAATCATGCACCACTAACTTTTTTTGGATGTTAATGGCTCTATTACATTGTAGTATCTGTTATCTGTTCATATACTTTCTCAACCTACTGAAACACAAAGAACAAATAACGCCTCCATTAAGGCTCGAACTCACCATCTTTTAAATGAAAGTCCAACCCGGATATCATTAGACCACATAGTCTTGGTCATGCACCACTAACTTAGTTGTCACTTTCAGGGAAAAATTGATATCTCTTCGTTACGAGATGTATTAAGATAATTCTTTTTGAATGTGTAAATTTTTTAAATTCGTTATTTGAACGGACGAGAATTCGGGAGAAAATTTAAGTTGGAGAAAAAGATTTTTACTTTTTTTTTTTCCTAGTAAATGTGAACTAAAAGTTTAGGTTCTTAATAGATTAACACATTAAGACATTGTATCGGACGAAAATGGAATGCTTCAAAAGATAGATGGAGCCCCTAATAACTTTGAAAACGTACAACTATTTGAGGTCCATTGAACATGCATGGTGAAGCCACATATATATATATATATATATATATATATATATATATATGTATATATATATATATATGCTTTTGGCATGTGGAACATTTATGGTACGTACAATATATATGTAAAAGATTATATTCACCTTGTTTTGCTTATCTTAATGTCTTCAAGCTAGTCTAAGTAAAATTCATTATGTATTAAAGAAAAAGTAAAATTCAATATAACATAATAAAAACTTATATAAGACCGTTACACGTAATTTAAATATCAAATGTATAATAGTTTTAATAAAAATCTAAAGCATGTTTGGATATAAATGGAAAGAGTTCGAATAATTGAGGGTGGACTGAGACTAAAGTGTATGATGTAGTGACGAATTGTAGACTTTTTTAAAAATACAAATATATAGTATTTATAAGAAAAGAGTCTAACCATTATAATTAAGTTAATGCAAGATAAAAATGGGGGAGATGACGACTAATGAATGTTTGTCGTTTGTAGCATAAGACAAATAGCTAGAGTTGTAACGTATAAGATTGATATTGATGATAACTACCTACTGTGTCTTGTAGTGATCCCAACTAAGAGTAGTTTCGATCCAGATAACTTCATAACTAATAAATGTTTGGAAGTGATTCCTCATGAGAACGACGGAATCAATCATAAGCGACCAAATGACCTATAGATTCGAGTTCAAGTGATCAAGCAAATCAAAACTTAACGGGTCATGTCTAATATGGTGTGGATATTAATCCTAATTAACATGTAATATTGACGGGTCAAGCGGTATAATTGTGATTCTCCCAAATGATAAGTCATGTTTGAGCCTCAGTAGAGACATTGATGTTTGACAAAAAATTATAATTAAAAGTTAACCTAATCTACAAATAACTTATCAGATCAAATCAAAAGATGTCATAAAACGCTGCTACTAAATATCAAGTTTAAAACTCTCTTATATTACACTATAAGAGTACATATATTATTTTCAGTAACATTTTTTATAAAAAAAAATAAAAATCATTTTCCGTAACATTATATTTGCCGGTAAAGCCATAAAGAATGTACTACAATGAACAAGTGGTGATGACATAAAGAAGTTCCCAGTTGATGAGGAAATAGTAAATGCACATCTGACTATTGGTAAAGGAATGCAGCCTTTTTGCATTGAAATCCGAGGCAAAATCGCGTCATAAATCTCGCGATTTTTTTACTTTTTTTTTTCTCGAAAGATATAAGAGATGTATAGAGACCGAATAATCGCGATAAAACGTCACTTTCAATTTGGTGCCGTATTTTTTATTTATTCTTCCATCTTCTCTCCCTGCTTGCTTCTGCGCTCCTGCCTGTCAGTTGCATGTCAACGTAACAGATTACTCATAACCCCGTTTTGTTAATTCTAGTCGGCCACCCAAAATTTTTTATTTTAAATTATTAATTAATTTATTTATTATAGAGGTATGTTATGGAATTTTATTGTATTAAAATTAATTTTTTTTTTTTTTTTGGGTGGGTTGGGGAAGAATGTTAAGAGTTTTAGTTAAAATTGATTTGTATAGAAAAGGGTTCATAATATGGAAACTTGAATTAGAAACATTATATTAGTGATTGTTTGACGGTAAATAAGGTTACCCGAATAGTTCTAGAAAGTAATCAAGCTTGAATTGCTTAAGAATTTCAGTACAAAGTATTGAACGTATCCTTGCCTAATGAAAAGTACCATACTTATATTAGTGCCCTCAACGTTCTTTGCTGAAGTAACGGCCCTATAATAATGGGAAGCTGATTCTGCATTAAGTGTGGTAATCGTTTCCCGTTGAATAGGTCGATGTTGAAGTAAATGTTTCGGTTACGTGACCGTTAGTCTTTTTCGGCTAATTCCGAGTTGAGTGTCAGTCCAATTATCCTATCAATGTTCATAATATAGATGACAAATCGGATCTTGAAAATTCCTTAATTCGTATAGTTAAAGAGCTCTTAAGTTTTTGTAGCAATGCTAGGGGAGTTGTTTCTATATCTAACGGTAATGAATGCTTGATTACTTCCATTAATCTTTGTTGTAAACATTTCAGCATATAATTAATGAATTAGCTCCTTTATTATTATTTTAAAAAAAAAGTAAAAATAGAGTCAACACAATAAATTTTAGTTTATTTATTGAGAATTTGAGATGTTTAAATTTCAATTTAAAGTCAGTAAAATTCTTAAAAGAAAAACAATTTTGAAACGGGGGTGGGTGTTAAGGCTTCTATTTTTGCTAGATTTGAATACTATTTTATCCCCCATGAGCAAGCCCTAAAAGAATATTATCATCCTTAAATTAAAGAATATAAGAAAAAATATGGTGGATGCATAATCATAATAATAGAAAAAATAACATAAATTATAACAATAGAAGTATTTTTATCTAAAAATTCAAATATTATATAGCATAATTTTTAAAATACAATACACAAAATAATTAGCACTAAAAACATTAACATAAATTTGAAATATAACTTTGATCGAGACTTATTATGTTTTTAGATTGGTATATTTAAGATGTTTCATTTAGAACAACTTGATCACATGATTACTGGTAACATTATACACGATTCCTTGTTTTCTCATCATATTGATACATCCAAATATCTGATGATTCATTGATTCTGTCTCATAAAAAGAAAAAACTAAATTAATAATTAAATTCAACATGTATTCTTTATATTATAAGCAGTTTTTTTAATAAGAATATTATATATTTTATATAAAGAGAGGCAACTTTCTAGTGCCCATCCAGAATTATTCTCAATCGTCCAAATAATTTAATATTTAAAATACTGTATTTTACTATTTTCACCAAAAAGCAAAAAGTAAACGAAAATCAGGGGTATATTCATCAACCCACGCCTTAAAGATTTTCTCACACATCATTTAAAAGTCTCGTCCTTTTATCTCCAATTTCTCACGAAACTATCACTTTCAGTCTTTCACTGCTTTAGGGCCCACGAACCCGCAATGACAACTTTGCCCCAAACACCTCACCTAATTTACCACAAGATGCCCCGGTAAGTCGACACGGCGGCCCGCCGGTCCCCGTCTCATCGTGAAATTAAGATTTATGAACAATCGAACATCCGATGAACAGCACAATAAAAAACTATTGAAATTACTAATTAGCAATCGTGAAGCTACAAATCTTTTATCTATCATTTCGAAGAAAAAAAAAGTGAAAAATCTGAAATAAGATTAATCATCCCATGAATAACAATCGCTAGAGCGAGATTTTATCATCACAACAATTTAATTACGAATTTCTCTTCACTTTTTTCGATTCATTTCTCTCCCTAGAGAGCAACAAACAAGAGCGGAAACAGCTGCGGAGATCGATGGAGGTATCGATCTCCCTTCCCCAGCTACGTTCCGTTTCCAATCCCACGTCCAGTAGATACGCCGTGTTATTTCGTGTTTCCACCTTCAGAGTTTGAAGATCTTGGCGGCCCTCACGACAGGATTCTCCCTCGCGATGGCCTCCCGGCCGGCGGCTTTGTAGTCGTAACTGCAGTCGTGTCGGTCGGAGTACCGGTGCTCTCCGCAGAAGAGCTCGCCGCACCGGCAACGGAATCCGGTCAAGCCGACCTTCCTCCGGCAGCCGGAGCAACGGTTCACCTCTCTCTTCGCAGGAGCCGGCGAGCTCTCTCCGGTTTTCTCGTCGATTTTGTCCGTCGAATCTTCCAGCTTCTTCAGATCTGGAACCGTTCTCCCGGGAGAAGTCCTCCGGAAGGTAGATCTAGGCGACTTCTCGGCGAACTTGTGCGGAATCGGCACTGTTGACGCCGCGACGGAGCTGGAGGTAGACGCAGCCGTGGTGGCGTTGAAGCACTTCTGACACATGCTGTTGGTGGCCGGGTTCCCGGTCACGCCGCAGTTGTTGACGCACGGCGTTATGGTCTCAGGTACCACCTTGAACTCCGTCTCCTCCTTCTCCGTCTTCTGTACCATTTTCACAACAACAAAAATTTCTCAAAAGAAAAAAACAAACGATTTCTGTATGAACAATTCTAGAGAGAGAGAGCTGAGGTTGAAGAAACGGAGAGAGAGAGAGATATAGGAAGCGAGTCGGATTTGGGTTGGGTTTGAGGAGACGAGAGGAGATTTAAGGGGGGGAGAGAGGTCGGTAATGGCGATAGAATAATGGCCTCATTAGGGACGCGTATCACGCAAATTGGAGGCCGCTGTGTGGACCAAAATGCCCTTGTAACTTTTTCGTAATTACGCCAATTTGGTGGTGGTCGTACTTGGGCGGTTCTAGATTAGCTCTGACGTGTTATTTACTTAAGCGTCACATTTCTGAATATTTTAATATTGTTCCCTTCGGGGGACCCTTCACATATACCGTATAATATAATATAATATATAATAATATTCTTAATATTTATATGTCCTATAATCCTAACATAAATTATTGATAATAAAATACGGATTAAAATTTGAGAGCTTTTGAATAAAATAATATAATATTATGGTTTGTCATTGCCCACAATCTACTACAATAATATAATATTGTTACTGTTTATACGTTCGGTAGTCTCTACATAAATTAACAAATGATAGAAATACGAATTAGAACTTGCGAGTAAAGTTAGAGAGTATCTGAATGAAAT